ATCATGGTGAATGAGCCAAATGGCATGTGGGGTGTGTTCGTGTGTGTGTGTGTGTGTGTGTGTGTGCGCGCGCGTGCGCGTGCACGTGCATACTGGTGAGGGTTTTTCAGTGACAGAAGAGAAACTGTTATCTCTATTTGGAAGGTGGGAAGCAGGGCTGGAATTGGACTGCTGATCCTCTAATGCAAGGCTGATCAAACTTTTTTTGTAAAAGGCCAGATGGTAGATATTCTACACTTTGTGGGTCATACATCTGTGTTGTACCTGCTCAGCTCTGTCGTTGCAGCGGAAAAGCAGTCTTAGAGAAGATACATAAACAAATGAATGTGGTTGTGCTTCAGAAAACTCATTTATGGACACTGAAGTCTGAATTTCATCTGTTTTTCATGTGGCATGAAATATTATTCTTGTTTTTGACTTCTTGTACCCCAGTGATTAAAAAATGTAGAAAAATGTTAACTCTTGGGCTAAGTGGGCAGCAGGCAGGATTTGGCCTGCAGCCATGCCATCGTTAGGCCCCGTGCTCTAATGCCTAGTTCATCGCTACATACCTGGAGTGGCTGGATTTGGGGTGGGGTCATACGGAGGGTGCTGACCTTATGCAGTGATCACAGCAGCCCTCGCCTGCTAAGTGCTGACCACATGCCAGGCTCTGTGCTTCAGCACAGTGCATATGCCCACTCATTTCTTTCTTTCTTTATTTTTCTTCTACTACCTGTTCTCAGAACCTGTCATTCATTTCTTACAACAACTGTGTGAGGAAGGAGCTAGTGTCAACCAACTTTGCAAGTGATCAAACTGCTCACCCAGCTTGTAACTGTCAGTGTCAGACTTTTACCCAGGTGTCTGATTCTGAGGTGCATGTTCTTACCACCACGTCCTACTACTGTCTCTTATAGCAAAATATCATTGCCATGGAGATCATACGTGATGGGTTATGTTTTTCAAAAACACAGACATTCTTATCAAAGCAGGGTCAATTTTCCAAAAAGAAATTGAGGACAAGGAGGACCAAAGGACAGATGTTGACATATCCAGCTGTGGAAAGATTGGCTCAGAATCCCCCAGGACTTAATATACTTTTCTGAATTTGTTATCAAGTTCTTTCTCCAGAAATTTGGAGGAATGCAGATAGTCCTCCTACCCTCTGGAAAGATCATCCCTCTCACTCCCCTTCCACCCACCCACCCTCCACCAACACACACACACACACACACACACGAGTTCCTAGTTGTGCATATTAAACTACTGTCAAGTAATCTATTTGGCATTAGTAGCTAAAGAACAGATGTCAACTTATTGCGGCTTCCAGAGGGCCCTGCCAGATGAATGCAAAAGTTATCAATTCTCCCAGTAGGAATTACCCACAACACTTTTGTGCCTGCCCTGTCCTACCTGCTGTTTCCAGTTTCTTCTCCTTGGACACCCACCCACTCTGAACCCAACACTTGACAGTAGCTCAAGGCTCTGACCACAGTGACAACGTAAGAAGAGTCTCCGCCACCTCTGCAGTTCTGGGAAGTTTACTCCAAGCTTTGCTTCTCCCCAGCCCCCAATTCCCCCTTCCTCCCTGACCTCATAAGCTCATTCCCTTCAAAACCGGAGTGTGACTGTCACCCCAGGCAGCAGCAGCTGCAGGCCCTGGGAGCTCAGTAGATGGTGTTGCAATTAAGTTGTGGGTGGGGGTAGATGCTGGTGGCTGGGTGAGGGAGATAAGAGAAACAAAAGGCAGTTAAAAAGATCTGTCAATGAAAAGGATGGTTAGAGCTGGAGGAGGAGGTGGGTGAGCTGATGTGAACCTTGCCTCAACTCCTTGCTTTCTCCCAGTTCTCCTCTTCTGACCCTCATGGGTCCCTGGAAATCTGCTACCTCCTGAGCAGGGCACTCTCCTCTCCTCTCCCCTCCCCTCCCTTCCTCTCCTCTCCCCTCCCCTCCTCTCCCCTCCTGTTTCCTCTCCTTTCTTTTCCTTTCTCTCTCCCTTCTTTCCCTCCTTCCTTTCCTCCTTCCTTCCTTCCTTCCTTCCTTCCTTCCTTCCTTCCTTCCTTCCTTCC